AATACAAAAAGATAGTGAGTATTATATTATTTCTACGGTCCCAATCCCTGCATCACTAGCAGCCTCTGCCTTGTTCTTCTGCAAGCGGAATTCGCGTCGGTAAAGGATTAACACGTTCTTGGGCCGTACAAAGTAGTCTTCGTCACCACGCCTTGGTCGTCGCTCAGTCCCTGCAAGTTGAATTGCAAGGTCGAGCAGGTTTTGGAGGTTGAGGCTGTGCCTGTGAAACAGACTTGGAGTGATTTAGCAAGTGACAAGAAAGAAAAGATGGACGCACGGCGATGGCGTGCAGCGAGTGTGAGTAGTGCATGCAGGTTGAGATCCGGAGCGTTGAACGAGTTGATTCAGACTGCAGACGAAACTGTGTCTGTGTGCGTGTGCTCTATAGTTTATCTACAGTGTCCAATGGGAGGTGCAGTAAACTGAGTCGTCGATTGCAAGGTGTATCTCTAGGACGTTCCGGCTCGAAAGGTGAAGGTGAAGTGGAAGGCGGACGGACTCGGCTGAGCAGGGAGTGGAGGGCCACTGCTTCCGTTCGAAATGGTGTCATGCACGACACTGGGGAAAGTAAACGCACGCAGTGTGGACCCATCAAGGGTGATGCCAAGCATGGAACGGGTGGGGAAGAACGTGCGCGTCGGGTTGGAGAGAGGATTGCACCTTTGGAGTAGTCATACATGGACATTTCGCGAGCGTGTGATCGTCAATTGTTGCTTGTGCTGCAGGGTGGAAAGAAGTATGCGAATTATTAGCAAATTTGTTCGGTATTGGTCAAAAATGCAGATGCGCGAATGCAAATGCAAAAAGAATACGAACGTAATAAAAAGGAGGACAACGAAGGAGAGGCGACGTAAGAGGCAGAGCAAGGAGTGGGAAGCATGAAATGGAGACAAGAAGTTGGGAGGAGAAGGATGAGCAACTATTGTGCAAGCTATTATGAAGTGGACTGGCTGCTTACGCTTTACGCTGAAGGACTGTGTAGCCAGCTGGGTCGTGTCGTCACAGGATCTGAGGTTCAGTGCAGGCAACGCAGTGGCAGATTAGAGAGACGAATGCAGCAATGTTTATTGTCTAGGTGGTTGCAGCCAGTGTGCCTGCTGGAGGATGCTTGTAGGCAGAGGACTGAGCTGGAGAGAACAAGAGCGACAACATAGCGTTGGGGGAAGAGGGTTGGGGAGATGGTGGAGCTAGGAGGAAAAGGAGTGACGAGAGCAAGTGCGTCATTATATGCACTCGATCTTCGGTACTCGATTATGTAATCACTTCGATATATTGTTTAAAAGTAAAACCAAATTATATTATAAGTCTAACAG